GGTTAAAATTAGTTCTCTCTGGAGAAATCGAAAATGGAAGAGAGGATGCCTTGTGGTGGTGGCTTAGGACTTTCGATTTGTGTACTGAAATTCACTTGAGCAAAATTGAACCTGATCTGTCACTAAAAGGAGAAGCTACAACTAAGTGCAGAAGCTATCTGCTCTAGTCCACCTGTTCAGTGCTAGTCAGGATCGTGTACATAGTAGTCTACTATGTAGACTGACCTCTGATTATTTTAGGTCCCTGAGAAACATATTGTGATGAAGTGGAGGTTTAAAACTTGGCCAGAAGGTATGAGCATGTTTATTACTTTATCACCAGAACTCCCCACCCCTGTACCCCCCTGCCTCAGACCCAGCTGGAAGCCCTAGATCCATAACCTGCCTCCCCTCCTCCTTCCCCAGGGCACTTTGCCACCATCACCTTGACCTTCATTGACAAGAATGGAGAAACTGAGCTCTGCATGGAAGGCCGAGGCATCCCTGCCCACGAGGAAGAGAGGACGCGACAGGGCTGGCAGCGGTACTACTTTGAGGGCATCAAACAGACCTTTGGCTATGGCGCACGCTTATTTTAGGGCCAGCAGCTGGGGGGGGACCGCCTGCCCAGCACTTCAGTCCAGCCCTCTCCTGCCTGGGGCTCGTGACTCACAGGATTGCACCATCCCAACCAGTAACTTGGGGCTGGGGCTCCTTCCCTCCACTTATACCTTGGGTTTGTGCATGTTTTCTGCTGGGTGGGATCTGAGGGTGATTTTTCTTTTATGTGTACATACGCTAAATAAAGTAATTTTAAAAATGCACAGATCTGAAGCCTGTATTGATTGGATGGCTGTTGTTAACACTTTCTTGAAGGCTTTGAAGTTTTAAAAAGTGGAGGGGTTGGTAGGAGACCTCACCTCCATTCCAGACAAGTGTGGGTAGCTGGGAACCATGCAGGGTATCTGCCGCTCACCACCAAGCATTCCTGAACCAGTGTGCTGCTCACTGCTGCCTGGAGAACGGCCTCTGCTGCTCCCCTCACCACGGGCCAGAGGGGAGGCCACACTGATGCAGTGCCAGTGCAGCAGCAAACACTGGCTGGAGGAGTTGTCATCCTGGGCTCTTCCTCTGACCCTCAGACATGGGGTGTGGTGAGGGACCCCCCACTCTGGTAGAGAGGAGCTGTGGTCCATGGCTTCTGCTTGCTGAGCAGTTACTGTCTCTTGTGTTGGCTCACCTAACCCGCCCAGCAGCCTTATGCAGCAGAAATGATCACATCAGTCTAGGGGAACCTAAGACTCAGTTTTCTCAAGGGACGTGTCTCAGACCGGTAAGTGATACATGGCAGAACCGGGACTTGAAAGGACCAAACTGCAGATCTGGTGTTCACATCCTGTTGTCTCTGGTCTTGTCAGACAGCCTCTTGAAGAGCTACTGCACTTCTGGAATGTTAGTCATCCCTCCTGGAGCAGAAAATCCCAGGCCTTCATATTTCCAGGAAGGAGAAACAAATGTCCTAGTCAGTCATTTTAAACACCTGACTCTAGTTTACCGGAGTGACGTGTGTTAAAAAGTCCAGTGGGCTCTGCCCAAGTTGGGATTGTGTGGGACGGCCACACAGGGAAGAGGCGACTACCTGAGCTGGGAAGGTCCCTTGGGAATGATGACCCCCCACCTGCTGCTTGCCACCCCGCATGAGTGAGTCTCTAGTTCAGACTCTCCTGCAGCTACAGCTATTTCATCTATTTTTGACTTGTATTAGGTGGCAGTGAGGCCTGTGGGCTAATCCTACCAACATGCCTTGGCCAAAACGTTGTTAACATAAAGCAGAAAATCATATTGATGGGGTAATTTAGATCCTCAAAAGCTTCCTTTGTTTGGAATTGCTCAAGTGAGTGTTGAACCAGTTCCCTTCTGATTTGGCACGCCTGCTTGCTGGGTCCTTCAGAAAGGTGTCTTTTTGGTCAAGAACCTGGATTCTACCCTGAGCCAACAGGCCCTCCTATCACAGAGGCCAGTGATGAAAAAGGAACCTTGTCACTCCTGGCTGCAGAGCTAACAATTCCAGAAGCTTTAGAAAAGTAAAGCGTTCCCAAAAGCCTTAAGGAAAAAGCAGCTGCACACGACACTCTGGAGCAGCTGCCCCCAGGACTGGCTGTGGCTCTTCCGATTTCTTAGCCCTGCTGCTGCTGCCTTGCCGATAGCCTCTTGTTTGGTCATCCGAGCCTAAGAGGCAGAATGATAGAGCTAAAAATGGTGGACGTGGATTGGAACTGTAAATGTGTCATTTCCTAACAAATGGGGGTTTTCTCATCTAGAACATGGGCATCATCAGGCCCTGCCAAAAGCGCTGGAGATGAATGTAGATGCACTGGCACCTCATGGCGCCTTGGAAGTGGCACCTGCTGACTTCTGCACCCCCAGCTTACATGTTTTCCTTGGAGCAAGGAGCTGTTGTTTTGAAAAGCACTTTAACTGACGAGAATTGGAAATCATAGGCCCAGGATACGCCTGCCAAGAACTACCTGGGGTAACCTGTTAAAAGAAGAATGAACTCCACTTTTAGAAGTTCATAGTGGGTGGGGTGGTCCATGAACTTATGTTTTTATAAATACCCCAGGCAATTCTGATATCAGAGCTGTATGCTGAAAAGCACTACAGTGTATACAATGTGTGTGCACTCGCGCACAACCTAAAGTTGTAATAGAAGAGCCCCTTTCTAAATAATGGAACAAAGCATCTTGAGCGTCTGTCTTCTGAACATGAGAGGCCTCCAGGGCCTGGCGGAGTGGCACTATTGGTTGTGTGAGACCTGGGAAGAACTCTGTATACTGGCTCAGGACCCTTTATGAGGAGAGGAAATTGGGCAAAACCATCCCACAGGCTAGAACAGTCAAGTTAGAAACAGTGGTGGTATCCATGCTAGGTGCCTAGCTGTGGGCGGCACCAGGAGTTAGGGACTGGAAGAACCCCTAGTCAAGGCAGTGGGGGAGGGGTGCTCTGACCTCCTCATGGTCCCTCCTGGCTCTGCTCCCTCTGACAGGTTCAGTACCCCTTCACGACTTTTTCTTCACACACAAGTGCCTGTCCCTAAGTGCAAGTGCCTGCAGCCACCTGCACAGTGTCTCTTGTCGAGTTTGAGTAAATACTTCATAGCGGGCCCCCAGCCCCCTCTAGGCTCCTTTCCAGCCTTTCACTTCTTTCATCTGTGGCCTCACATAAATGCAAGTTAGCATGTCACTTAGATTGCAAGTTAGAAACAAGATGGGCTAAATTCAGCACCGGCGATAACCAGTAGAGTTACATTTAGTCTATTTAAGTGTCAAGGTAAGAGGTATTAGAAAGGAGAATTAGCAATTTCCTGTGAAGATGGACTCTGGGCTGTCTCTTATCACTACAAAAGTTTCTGCTAAAAAATAATTAAAACATGCCCCTGCTAGTGTTACTGAGGTCCCCAGACAAGAGACAGGCTGCAAACTCGGTTCCTGTCTGGTGACGGAAGAGCCTGCCCCGCTCTGACCCTGAGCAGTTCCTGTTGCCCCGGCAGTGAGACAGTGGCCAAACCAGACTTATCACCTCCGCACTGGGTGGAAGGTGATGGGAGACCTCTGGCTCTCTGAGTGCCAGGTGGCGGCGCTAGACACACCTTGCCTTGTTCTGCTTCCTGGTTCTACTTCCAGGAGTGGCAGTGAGAGTGGGAAAGGGTGCCCAGTGTGCCAGGGTCAGGCCCACCTGTCACTCTGCAGTCTACTTGGGGAGGCGGGGCCACATGCCCCCCTGAGGTCGAATTACTCCTCCATGCCTCCCATAGCCCTTGAGGAGGGGAAACTGATATTTGACATCTAACCTCTGCACCCGAGGAGTTCTACCTACCAGGCTGTTAGGGGGCCACAAACTCAACCACAGGAACTCCGTGTGGGCACAGGCTCTGCTCTGTGAGGGCCCCAAATTCTTCATCAGAATTTGAAAATAAAGTGGTTTGTTGCTGGGGATCCCAGAGAGCTTCAGAGCAGCTGTCTAGGGGCCAGGACTGGAGTCCTCTACCTTTGTGGCTTTTATGCATAGACACTGGGGCTTCAGCCAACTCCATTAGATGACAAGGAAATAGTTTAGGGGTGAGAGGAGCCAGGAAGAGGCACAAGGTATACTGGGAAGCCAATTATGTGCCTCTTTCCCCAACTCTGAGGCCTGTACCTGCAGTGACATCACCCTGGGGCCTGTGGTGTGCATGGGAGAGTGTTCACACCACAAAAGTCGCCCAAATGCTGTAAGTGGGACTGCCCCCCGGAAAACTGGTTTACCACAGGCACACGACACCCGGTGCTGAGTCAGCTCTGAGCCCACGCCCCCCCAAGCCCCACTCCTGTGAAAGCAGCCACTTTCCCCATCCTGGATAATGCCACCTCCCCAGCCCTGCACCACCCCGCAACCTGGACACAACAGAGTGAATTGCTCACAGAAAGGGAGCTGAGCTGAAGAGCCCCGCCCTGCCTGGAGTCCACCTGGCCTTGCCCCCCTCAGATGGAGACCCCTCTGATGGCTTCAGTGCTGACCTTAAGAGGCGTCCACTAAAGCAAAACCTTGGGGGCTGAGCGGGCTTCTCTCACCCAGGACCCAACCCTCTTCCCAACCCACATGGACCTGCGGAAAACCCTCCTGTGCCACGCTCCCAGCATGCAAAAGGGCCAGGTGAGCCGCCAGAAGTAAGGGGGGCTCCTCCCCGGGGGCTGCCTGCTTGATGGGATGGACTGGCCCGAGGGGCTGGGGATCTCCGCCACCCGCCCCAGCTCGGGGAATGGACATGCGTGGGGGAGCCAGGGCAGAAGAGCCCCGCAGGGACCGACCCGAAGGAAGCGCGCGCCAGCATGGCGTAGCGCCTCCTAGTGGAGAGGGAGGAGGCGGCGGGACACATTGCCCCGGGGCCCTCAGGCCTGGGGGGCTGAGCGGGGCTTCTCTCACCCAGGACCCAACCCTCTTCCCAGCCCACACGGACACGGGGGCGCTGACCTGCCTCGGGTTCACAGGCCGGGGTCGGAGGCACCACACTCCGGGGAGGCCAGGTGTGCGCAGGATGGGCCTGCAAGCAAGTGCCCCAGCGCTTCATACTCCTTGGCCTCCTGCAACCGGGCCAGGTACTCCTCTTCCGGGAGGGTTGTCAGCGCAGGCCCCGCCGTTGTTGGGGGGCCACAAGGCGTGGTAGCGGCTCCAGTCCCCCTTACACAGGATCCACGGCAGCGTGTCCACCTTGAAGGGCAGCTCAGGTGAGAAGTCGGTGCTGACCAGGTCAGGCGCGCCGGCGCCCTTGCCTCGCGTCAGCAGCCGGCTGTGCGTCGTAACAGCAGTGCTGGGCCGCCAGGGTGCTGCTCTGCCCCGACAGCAGGGAGCGCAGGCAGAAGTGCGTCGCGCCGTGGGCTGGTGCACGTCCAGGCGCTCTCGCGGGCCGCTGGCATCCTTCCACCGGAAGCTGCGGCGCTGGCGCTCGTCCTGCAGGCTCATGCACTGGACACGGCCGCCAGCGGGTATGCACAGGGGCCGCTGGGCAGGTCCCGCAGCACCTGGCTCAGGCTCAGGTACTTGGTGAGGAAGTCGCTCTTGCAATTCAGTCAACTTCTCACAGCTGTCCACATCTGCAAGGGCAGGGCGGTGCCCGAGGGGGAGGGGCAGTCAGCCCCTGGAGGGTGGGCTGATGGATGCATGGAGAGAAAGCCCAGCCCCAATGAGGCAAAAGCATGGTTTGGGAGGGCCTTAGGGCCGGAGGGTTAGACCCAAGTCCAGCCTGACTTCCCTGTGGACAGATAAAGGCTGCCATATACCACCCAGCAGCCTGAGTCATGGCTCAGAATGGATTCTGGCCAAAGGGCTGTGTCCCTTGCCACGCCCGGGGACCCCCTTCCAGGTGTGGTCCACTGGGAGCTGGGTGGTGGGAGAGAACCTGGCATCTTGCCGGAGGAGTGGGGTGGGTGTTTGGCTATCTCGATGCCTGACCCATCCTGCTGTCTTCCTCGGCTCATGCTTGTCTCTCCAGGCCCCTGCTGACCACGCCACTCCTCTCCCTACCCTGGGAAACCAGGGCTCTGAACAAAGTGCTCCTTCTGCTTTGCATTCCTTGGCATCTCTGACCACAGCTACCTTCCTCCACCCACTGACCTTCTCCTGGCCAAGGCTGCCAGCATGCCTAACTGTCTCTCAGTGAGTCCCCTCCACCAGCCAGTGCCCACCATGGGGCACCCAGGCCTCCATAAGATCCAGGCTCCTGGACTCCCACTCTGGAGTTCCTTGGCTCAGAGTGAGGCCCTGGGGGCTCAGAGGTTCCCACCTATCTCCAGGCTGCAGGGGTTTTTTGCCCAGTCTTGAAGCTAAGACAGAAAGAGAGATGTCCATGGCAATCCTGTGAGCCTTGGGGGCCAGAAGCCCGTGGTCACTGCCCCACACAAACCTGAGCCTTGACCCCGCCTCCCATCTCACCGGGGGCTGTGCGGGGTGGCTGAAAACACAGGCCTACACCGCCAGGCCAGCTGCAGATCCCAGTTCTGGCTCTTGCTCTCTCCCCGCTCAACTCGATGACATCCTCATCTGTAAAGTGAGAACACCTACCTGTGAACACTGGCAGCAGGGTTTATCAGACAGCTCCGCAGCATCAACAGTGCATCAGACACCACGCTGAACACTCGTCCCATGTCCCCTAGCCCTCAGAGCCAGATGCTAGCTGTCCTCATTTTGACAAAGGAAACTAATGAACAGAGTGAGCAAGTAACTTGCCCCGGGCACCCAGACATTTAGTGGTGGAATTAGGGTGTGAATGAGGCCGACTGGGCCCAGAGCCAGGGCTCTACACCATCATTCTATAAAACACTACAAGTGAGGGCACTGAGCCTGCTTTGCAAATCTGGGGCTGAAGCAGCCTACTTCTCACTCCTCTTCGCAAGGGCTGGGAAGTTCCAGATTCTTCTCTCTTCCACTCGACCTCTCTGGTCCCCAGCTGCCTGGCTCCAAGTCACCTGCACTGACCGGGCCCCACAGCAGTCAAGAGTCCACCTGCACTGGCCCTGGAGCCTCTCACCATGCCAAGGAGCGCAGGTCCAGCTGCTTAAGAGGCTGTGGAGGTGACAGAGAGCTGTGGGAGGGGAACAACTTGACCCCTACACTGCCCAGTTCTGGGGGCCTGGAGCATCCCCAGATGCCACCTCCTAAAAGTTCCAACCCACAGTTCGAAGGAATCCTAGATGTCCCTGTGACTTTGCTCAGGGCTGGGCCACCTACATCCTACACCCTACATCAGGAGGCTGGGGAACTCTTCTTCATCAAGGCCACTGGGCCAGGCAGTTAGCTCTGACATGCCACTCATGGCCCTGAAATAGCAGTTCAGCCTCGCCTGTGACCACAGAATGCACTCCCCTGACATGGGACAGGCTGCTCACATCACAGATTTGGGAAACTGTGTTCAAGCTGGCCCAGATCATGGATGTGATGTAGCCCCTCTTTTTTTTTTTTTAAAGGTGTATTTATTTATGCATACAAGAACTGGGGTACAGGCCAGAGGTTCCTGGCGGTGAGAGGATTCACCAGAGACAGAACAGGGAGCAGAACAGGCAGATTGACGAAGTACACTGCTGAGGGGAGCAGCGGGCGGGTCAGGAGAGGTCTGCCGCGCCATGTGGTCACCTCCGGCACAGAGATTGAACTCATGCTGAAGTGGCTTTAGCTTCTTAGTGCTGTGCTTTAACCTGCTGTGCCACCAGCAAGGGCCCCATTTTCTTTTATTTTTAAAAAGATTTATTTTATGTATTTATGCATACAAGAGCTGGGGTATAGGCCAGAGGTGGGGGGTGGTTGTATATGAGAGGATTCACTAGAGACAGAGCGGGGAGCACCGCAGGCAGATCTACTGAAATACTGAGGGGAGCAGCGGGGAAGCCAGGAGAGGTCTGCTGCACCATGTGGGTCAGCTCCCTGGCCGGGGATCAAACTTGTGCTGCAGTGACTGCAGAGAGCTTCATAGTGCTGACACTTAACTCCTTGCACCACCAGGGAGGCCCTAGCCCCTTATTTTAAATATCAGCAAGTCATCCAGGTGAGTCACACATGAGTTAATAACTTGTTAGCACCAGAACCTTAGGCCCCGAGGTTTTGAGTTCTATTTTTTGACACTCATTTGCTTTAACATGTTTTTGAGGGCTCAGTGGTAATGGGGCCTGGGGCATAACTTTAGGTCCCGAAGAACTATCCTCTAGGCTTTTCTCACTGGGGAAAGATCTGGCAAACATACTGAAAATAATGACAATACAAAGTAGTAAGTACTAAAATAGCGTTTATGCCAAGCCAGTAGAAAAATGCCAGGTTAATTAATTTTATGGCCACTGTCAGCCCCACCTAGGCATGGAACTGGCCAGAGGCTGTTCCGGCCTCTGGGTCTGTCTACAGCAGGGCTGCTCACAGCAGGCTGGAGGACTGGGAGTCCGCAGGGGAACCTTTGGCAATGTCTGCTGGTGGTGGTGGTGGGGGGGGGGTTGCTATGGGCATCTAGTGGGTTGAGGCACGGATGCTGCTGTGCATCCTAGGAGGCACAACAAAGAATTTTGCAAACGGGATGACCGTCACACGGAGGTTGAGAAACCCAGGCACAGAATTCTCTCATCAGGCGCAGAAACAGTCTTGCCAGGCAAGAACACCACCCCGGCTACTGCAATGGTGTGCGACACTCCAAAGGGCCATGGTACCGCATGCGTGGTAGCAACAGTTCATGGGGAGGGAAGCTCTTGGGGGGCAGGGGGGATACCCAAAAGGCTGGGGGGCAGGGGCAGTAATAAAAGAAATGGTGAAACACTGGTCCACAGAAACTCCTTAAAGTATGGGGGTTCCTACCCATGGTCTCTGGGGGGTCTTGGCAGTGGAGTCACAGACAGCTGGGCTGTCACCAGGTCAGGGCTCTTTGTCCTCATCTGGCATATGGGTAGAACAGCTCTCTCTGCCTAGGACGGCTCAGTGCCCCAGAGGCCCAGCCCGGGGCAGTACAGGCCTGCTCCTGCCCACCCTCTGCAAGTCAGTGGGTTTTGTCCCAGGGGGATGAGCGGCTACTGCGGTCCAGGTCCAACTGTGGACCTCCTGTGATGGGAGCACAGGCTGAGACAGACCATGATTTCTCTTGTGTCTAAACCAGACATTTCCATCTCCTTCCTTTGCCTTACACCCAGCCCCAGACAGCCGGAAAGTGCTCCCCTACATTTTAGCGACCTCTTCTGCTTTTTCTGCTCAGTAGATCACAAAATTAAGTCCTCGGCTGGCTACTCCCACTCAGCAAGTGAGTGGACCTCACTTAACTACCTCATCTTGCTTGACTTGAGACCCGAGGACTCAAATCCTCTAGTTTTGCTTTCCGGGGCTGCACGGGGTCACTCGCCCATCTGAGCCTCTGCAGCCCCAGCAGCTACTCCGTCAAGGCCCGGTTCCTCCCGAGACCTCCCGACCTCTCCGGGAGCGCGCGCCGGACCAGAGCGGCTGCAGGACAAGTTCGCTCAGGGCGAGGAAGCTGATGGGGGCGCGACGCGGCGACCCGAGAGGACACCGCGGCTGGCAGAGGGTCGGCGCACCTCCCTGGCGCCGCAGTTCCGTTTCCCCTAGCCTGGCCCGCTCCCGGCCCGGGACGAGGGGGCCCCTGGAGACGGCGGGCACGTGCCCATCGCCCTCTGCCCGCGGCGTCCCGCCCGCCCTCGGAGATCGCCGCTCGCGTCCCGACGGGGGACGAGCACCCCGCCGCCCTGCGCCTGC